CTCTCTCCTCCCCTCAGCACACCCTCTATCCACGTGGGGCAGCACAACTGTACTTTCTTAAGAGATGTTTTAAATGAGGGAAAAAGGTTTTTGTATCTTTTCATGTATTTACCATTTCTAGTGCTCTTCATTCCTTGGTGTAAATCCACGAGTTCGTCGGGGACCCCCTTCCTGCAGCCTGAAGAACTGTTTTTGTTGTTTCTCTAGGGCAAGTCTGCTGGCTGACAAATTCTCTCATCTTTTGTGTATCTGAAAAAGGCTTTGCTTTGCTTTCAATTTCGAAATCTGTTTTTGCAGATTCCTCTTTCAGTACTTTAAAGTCGTTCCATTGGCTTTGGACTGTGTTGATTCTACCTGTGTAATTCTGTGTGCTGTTCTGTCTTGTTTCTCTGCCTACCTTTAAGATCTCTCTGTCCCCGGTTATGAACAATTTGACTACGTGCCTTGGTGTGGGTTTCTTTATGCGTATCCTGCTTGGGGTTGATTGAGCTTCTGGAATTTGTGAGTTTGTTGTTATCAAATCATGAACGTTTTTGACCAAATATCTTCTCTGCCCCGCCTGCCATAGTTCCAATCCGATTGCATGTGATATTGATCCACGGAAGACTGATGCTGGGTTCTTTTAAGTGGCTTTTCTCCTCAGGTTTGAGTTTCTATTGCTCTCTTCAAATTCACTGGTCTTTTCTCCTGCAAAGTCTAATCCAGTGTTACGCACACCCAGTCAAAGTTTCGTTTTGGATATGATATATTTTTAGCTCTAGAAGTTCCATTTGTTTCTATTTTATATCTTGAATTTCTCTCTTCACTGTGTTTATTTTTCCTTTAAATCTTTGAATGTGTTTGTGATAGCGTTTTAAATGCCTGCTAAGTCCTTCATCTGTGTGATTTCCAATGTTTTTAATGACTGATTTTTCTCTTGATTATGGATCACTTTTTTTTTTGTTTTTGCTGCTTCTCATGTCTAGTAGTTTTCATCTCCCATTTTAAAAAATACTTTATTTGGAAATAATTTTAAATGTATCCAAAAGTTGTAGGACTAAGAATAGTGCTTAGAATACCTGCCGTTTACCCAGATTCCCCTATTACTAGTGTTTTCTCCCACTAGTATTAGTAGTCTCGCTGGCTGTCTACCTGTCTAATTATAACATCTTTTCTAAACTACTTGAGAATAAGTTGTATACACTTTGCCATTTATCCCTAAACACTTCACTGTGTATATCCTGCGAATGAGGATATTTCTTCTATAACTGTAGCTCAGTTATCAACCTAAGTAAATTCAGCATTGATACTCCCCTTTTCCTATCTACCACCCATTTTTCAGTTTTGTCCTGTGGCGTTGTCCCCTCCAGTACTGCCCCATCTGGGATCAGGTATTGCATTTT